GAAACATCAGTCCCATCCTAGCTAAGCTTTGTGGTTTCTCATAGCTGTCTGACATGTTTCACAGTTCATGACAGCCTGAATAAGTTGCATTTCCAGTGGGTGATACAGCAGTTCCAGACCCAGGGAGTCCTTATCTGCTTACACTGACCGGCTGGAAAAGCCATGGAGAGGCCTGAGGTTTAAGAGAGCAAAGAGAGCATGGCTACATTTAATCTCACTTTAGAACTTGGCTCAGCCTAATTAGTTTGCAAATACGTAACTTATTTTGCCACAAGGGTCATAAATAGTCTGTAGCCTCTGGTTCTGTTGACAGCTGTAGGGATGGGATTTACAAGAATACATAACCTGAACAAACAAAGACTTGACTTTATTCAACTTCCTTTAATAAAGTCTGATTGATTCCCTTCTTAAAGGGAAAATGAAACTTCAGATTCTTCTCTCTAGCAATGCCATTCCCATACTTGCAAAAATAATGTTAGTTTCTGTTTTCCTTCATTTGCCAGTTTAAATGTCATTATTTCTGCACACTTCAATATTTGCTGCACTTTTGCATGTATACCCAGGTGACAAAATGGTCATTTATGAAACTCAATTATATTTAAGTCAAGCAGCAACATTAAATTAATGAGGCAAACCAGATTCTTTATAGAACCTATACCTGTTGCCATGTCAAAGAAAAATTCATTGTGGTGTATACTTTTCAGAAGAATTACATTATGATTTCCAAATCATGCTGACTAAATATAACTATAAAATACCTTAATTTATGCCATTTGTCCTTAGAGAACTTTCAGTGGTTTGTAATCTAGATCGACTTTCACCTAATTTTCAAGTTTGAATTTCTAACAAATTATAAGGAAAGAACCCATCCCACACCTCAGTCTGTGGTTCTTTTGTTCTACTGTATGGGCACATTTGGGGAAAGAAAGTCTTCCATTAACTAACTTCATAATTTGAGGTATGACTCTATTATAGAGTATGCAGCCTTTCATTTTTCAAGTGGTAGTTTGCTTTCATGCTCTACCTTGACTACTCAGAAACCCTGTGTTTGGTAATATGCCAGGAAATTGTGGATGATTTAATGTATATATCCTCTCATTTAAGAAAGGCAAGTCAAATTACAGATACGGGCTTTGCCTCCCCTGACTTTCTTCCGTTCCCTCTCTTTAAATTGGTCCCAATTTATGGAGTTCTTTCTATTTCACACAATAATCTTTATGTTCACACAATGTTAATACGCCTCATAATGAGGGTTATTGTACCAAAACCCTTACAGTCATAACTCAAAAACAGACTGACTTCTTCTTGTATATAAACTTTCTAAAACTTGCTTCCATAGGTTGACTTCCGTGACTCTCCCCTATAATTTTTGAAGGCCCTCTAGGAGGCCCCGCCATCCATTTTACCTTTGAGTGTTATAGCCCAGCCTTGTAATAACCGTGCAGCCATCATTTAACCTCTTTGCTTCTCTCCTCTGCAAACTGCTCTGCTGTGAAACTCAGTCAGCAAAGGGGAGAATTGTTTTTGTTTAATGTTTATTCATTTTGGAGAGAGAGAGAGAAAGGAGATCGACAGAACAAGAGAGCAAGAAATCCTGAGCAGCGGAGAGGCAGAGAGAGGAGGGCAGAGGATTCAAAGTGGGCTCTGTGCTAACAGCAGAAAGCCCAATGCAGGGCTTGAACTTAGGAATTGTGAGATCATGACCTGAGCTGAAGTTGATGCTCAACCTCAACAGATTGAGCCACCCAGGCCCCCCGGGGAGAATCTTGTCATGGAGAACAGAAGACTGTGAGGAAACTTGGGAGACTTGATTCTGAATTGATTATAATGTAATTAAAGAGATGAGTTTCCCCTTTGGTAGAGATAGAGGGACACTCAAAGCTCCTCACATGCCCTGTGAAATGGTGAACAGAGGAGAATGGTGACAGTTCAGGCCAGAGACAGCTTTGACTAGAAATATTCAGATAATTCAAGTAAAATGTAGAGGTTTTTTGGGGGGAGAGGTGGGTTGTTGTTTCCATTGTTTAATCTAATAACCTCGATTTTCCCTTCATGTGATGTGCTCTGATACTTTAATAGCTCTATTGTTATCTACTTTTAACCTAAAATAAGGAACGGTCTGATTTCCACACTTTTGATTTGCAGATAATTTTATTTACAATTAAAATTGTATGATTTAAATTCTGTTGATTTTCTTGCTGAATTGTGTCAAGGCAAACAACCAAACATAAACATTACTAATTGTTCTCACCTACTCGGCTGAGTTACAGTTTATCAGTGATCTTAAAATGATGGTAGTGGTTCCATCTTTACATCGCAGAAATATGGAGAGGCATAGCACATATCAACGTTGTCTGCAGCAGTAAAGACGTCTATAGCAATCTCTCCTATATCATTTGTAGCATACTATGTAGATACCTATGTAAATATTAATATTTATAAGTATCTCTGAGACTAAATAAGACTATTTTGCCATTAAACACAGAGTCAAAGATGAACAACTTTGGAATATCCATTATTTTCATTACCTCACAGTCTCCATATAATATCCCTATTTGCATAGATCACTGATGCATAGTGATGATGATTTTACAGGTCACAAATTATTTTATCTATACCTTCTTTCAGTTTATCTTTATACTTTTGTTTCTATGACATCCACTAAAAATGTCTTCCTTTATAAGCTGGGAGACTAACTCAGCCCTAGGAATTGGTGGAATCTCAGTCTGGTGGAATGAGGCTCAGAAACAAATGACTTTTTTCATGATTTTAAAGCATGCATCACAATAGTGTCTTCTTGCAAAGGTTTTTGTAGTCAGACTAATACCTGCATGCGTCTTACATGTCCCCATGCTACCCCAAGTCGTTCACCATAAAGGTAAAGTAAAGGATAATCAAACACTGGCTCCTCCCTAATATCACATTGAACACTGACTGGTCCATGACAATACTGACTGCCCAAGGGCCTAAGCATTTTGTTACAAGCCCTGAGGAACAAATACACTTTCATAAAGCTTTAAAAATCTCTGCAGAACAGTAAGCCTAGTTCACATTGGTTTCAAATTGGTTATATTTATTTACTGGAAAAATTGACAAGATGTGACAACTTTTAAACTCTTGAGTTCCTTATTATACTGACCTTGAACAGAAACTTTCTCTCAAGGACGGTAGGTTTCCACTATCTCAGGATCTTGGCTTTCTAACTTTTAATTTGATTCCCTCCATAGTCTGCATGACCTAAACCACTAATCTCTCAGTTACAACTATTTTTCCCCTCGGACTAATATTATATACACCTTGATTCCAGGTCACTAATCAACTGGATTTGGGTTTCCTGAAAAGCTCACAGATTGTTACTTTGTCAGCAACAGTTGGATTCAAACCTTGGTCTTGGTTTTCCCATTTAATCTTGTAACTTCTAATTAGTTGGATATCCCTGACCATCAGTGTTTTCCCACAAGGCCTCCCTTGACTTTGACACCGAATATTATAATCTGAGTCTTTGACAAGGCAATGCACTCTCAAAAACAAGTTCAGTTTTTTTACAAGGTAGAGAAATTGAGAAATACAAATGTAAATTTTGCTGATTGGGAATACATCTTTTTGCTGGTTTTAGAACATCTGTACTATATTAAATAAGGTCTGGTTGATATCTGGAATGTTTTTTTTTTTTCCATTAATAGGTGTCTGATATATATCAGATACGTGTAAAAAATATATATATAATTTTTTATACTTTTTAAATTCTGTATTTTAGAAAAAAACATCTTTAATGTGCATTCAGAAACTTTTTTCTTTTCTGTAGTTTAATAAATAATTCAATGAAGATTTCAATAATTATAATCAAAAAGCTAAAGAGATGTCATGATAATGAATATTGGGGAAAATAATGAAACAAAAGGAAGTATCAAAACAGATTCATGATGTACATTCATATAATGTAGAATAAAAAATATTACCTAAAGAATCTGTATTATAATGGAATTAGTTTTCAAAAATATGCTAATAAGTTATATGGTAATTTATTGAATGTATACCATCTTCAGTCATGGTTCATATAAAGCAGTATCTCTACAAATATGATCCTTTTATGAAACTTTTATTTTATGATCGATTATATCTTCTATTATGAATTGGTCACTTCATTTATTATGTATGCCAGACATAATTTCCTTTTGATTGTTTATCAAGGCTTTGCCACTTCCACTAGTAAATGTTTGCACTCATTAGTGGAAGCAGTAAGGATAGAGGCATCTATGGGATTTTGTTGGCTTCATCGGAGGAATTTGTAAAAATATGAGATTTTGAAAACCGCAATTGTACCCAGATTTTTTTTTTTTTTTTTGGCAAATTGAAGAGGTTGACATGACCCAGGAGATGTTTCTGATAGCATTTACATTCCTGTACTTTTTCAGATTCTCTCTTCTTGGTGTCATGTTGAATCCAAGTCTAATAAAGTATAGCATTGAGAAGAAACTCAGAAAAAAATACAGGAGGAGACAACCTTCAAACCAGCATTAAAACTAATTTAATTTGATTTGAGATTATCAAATAAATGATCTACTTTGGTGGTAGAGTCAGCTTTGTGACACTCTTCAGACATGAGTGAAACACCTTATACCGGAGGCCAGAGTTCTGTCTATTGAATTCCATATCTCCATAAAGTTCCATAAAAACAATCCATTTAAAGTAGATAAATTATTTGGGATGCACAGAGTAAGGATGTTTTATTTATATAATTCTTATTTCTTGAATATATTGTCGAGTGTAAGTATCATAAGGGGAAGCTCAAATAGAGGTGAAGAAGGGGACTATTCACAAATCATTTCTTATTTGTATTTCCTATTTTTTCAAGTATTTTTTGGAAAGATTTACAATGAAATTATTCATTTACTTACTAAAAATTATTAAGCATATATATATATATATATATATATATGTACATGTACATATTTACATCCATATATATTTGTATTGTTTGTTTTTTTTTCCTCCTCTAGCAATGGTTGTTTTGAGCAACCTGGAACCAAATACAACTTATGAAGTCAGGGTTGCAGCAGTAAATGGAAAAGGGCAAGGAGACTACAGTAAAGTAGAAATCTTCCAGACATTACCAGTTCGTAAGTAATCATCTCTGTTTTGCTCTCTGTTGCCTTTCTCTTCACTTGCAAATTTAAGGGATTTTAAAATTCATGGAGGTGTTTCAATACTCTGGGGGAGTGAATTATGTCTTTGTTGAAGTGGTTTCTGAAAATGGTGGCATCTAAGATTTATAAAAATAACTTTGCTCTGGAACAAGGCAAAAAAGAAAAGGTGTACTACAATAAATACAGCGAAACTACTCTTGGGAAATTGTCCCCATCAGCAACGTGTCCTATTCATTTGCTGTCTGATTAATTAGATTGTAAGGTTTAGTCTATAGTCTGTGAGAAAGCAAAAACAGTGGCTATGTAACATGTTCAATATTCTATTCTTTTGATGAGACATGACCATTGCCTTTATCCCATAAATTATATAGGCCCTAACTGTGAGAAAGAGGCACCATTAAATAAGTTCATTGCCATGGTGACTACAGAAGACTAGCTATTGTAGCCTTGTTCCTACTATTATCCTGTTTTGGGGTGTTGTAAATCAGTTGAATTATACAAAGTTAAGGTAAATTTGCAGAGACTTCTGTTTCCTTTATGTTGAATAAATTATTTGAAAATGTGAGAAAATTTGACTGTGACTCAACAAACACTGTTATAAATTTTTTTTTTTTTAACGTTTATTTATTTTTGGGACAGAGAGAGACAGAGCATGAACGGGGGAGGGGCAGAGAGAGAGGGAGACACAGAATCGGAAGCAGGCTCCAGGCTCCGAGCCATCAGCCCAGAGCCTGATGCGGGGCTCGAACTCATGGACCGCGAGATCGTGACCTGGCTGAAGTCGGACGCTTAACCGACTGCGCCACCCAGGCGCCCCCAAACACTGTTATAAAATCCATGCATCACCCTGCTTGTTATATACACCTACTAGGACAGTCAAATTGGCCACAATAAATTATCTTGCCCTTATTTGTGACCAACTCTTGGTTCTCATAAAATCTGTCAGATGCCTTCTCTTTTCTCCATGTCTGATGCCTATGTCTTTTTTCAGCCCCTCGTTATTTTCTCCCCAGAATGACTGCTGATACATCTTGACTCACAATCATATTTTCAAACCAAAATAATTCTGGAGTGACTTTACACAAATATAAACAGATCTATCCCTTCTCTACCTATAATCCTTAACACCAACCTTCACCTTTGCACCTTCTGTCCACACACACATCTGCCTGCCTGACCTCCTCATACCTCCTTCCTCTGTGGCCACAGTGCCATCTGCATCAGTAGATGGAACTTGAGTTTGGTCATACTGTTTTCTCTTTCCAAAGTACTGTGCATTCTCTCTTGATTCCTCTCTCCAGGTCACTGCACATCAATCCCCAAACAAGGCAAGACCAGTGAGACCTTGGCTAACCTCTCCAATGTTTTCTCCTCTTTTAACTAGGCACACTACCCTTCACTCATAGAACACCATCCTTGTTGTTTCACCCATAAAACTCTACTCTTTTACCCTTTTTTATTTTTTTTATCTCTTCTTTAAAAATTACGATGCTTCTAATCTCTTAATGTCCTGCTGTTGACTTGCAGACCTCTGTCCTAGACGTTGAGACTTTAAGGATCAGGTCTTAGTTTTATTTGATAATACCCATGTATTTTATCTGCTTCTCAAGATTTTTTTGAAGTTTAAATAAGATGATATATGCGGGGCACCTGGGTGGCTCAGTCAGTTGGGCAACCGACTTCAGCTCAGGTCGTGATCTCACAGCTTGTGAGTTCGAGCCTTGCATAGATTCTGTGCAAAGCCTGAAGCCTGCTTCGGATTCTGTGTCTCCCTCTCTCTCTGCTCCTCCCCCTTCCCCACTCGCACTCTGCTTCTCTCTCTTTCAAAAATTAAAAAAATAAAAATAAAAAATAAAAAAGATGATATTATATACAAAGTACTTAATGTGTCATAATTATCCATTATTACTTCTTGATTGTTATTTATATTATTACTTTTGCATAAACATTCCACTGTAATTGCTGATAGAAACCATTATTTTAATCAATTCCTTTCTGATAGACATTACGTTTGTTCTGAACTTTATTTTCCTTTCAAAGGAAGTAGCAACTGTAATGGAATCACAAATTTAGTATATTGGGTTTTTTTTTTATTTTTTAAATGTTTATTTATTATTTTTGAGAGAGAGAGAGAGAGAGAGCACGCGAGAACAGCAGGGGCAGAGAGAGAGGGAGACACAGAATCAGAAGCAAGCTCCAGGCTCTGAACTGTCAGCACAGAGCCCATCATGGAGCTTGAAATCAGGAATTACGAGATCATGACCTGAGCCCAAGTCAGATCCTTAATCGACTGAGCTACCCAGGCGCCCCACAAATTTAGTATATTGTAAAGGTTATATATAGACATAAATATTTTAAATACATATGTTAACTGAAAATGCAGTTTCTGCTATATAATTATTATCTCAAAATGCTGTTATTAAAATAATATGATTACAATATTATTAAATTTATACTGTACAACACAAATGTTCTAAAATTCAATTTAGAAATTATACTAAACCAACCAAGTATAAAATCCATTTTATAATATTTAGGTTTTCCCATAATCTCTTATTAAGTCTTTTAAAGAAATTATTGTACTGCTTTTTACAGACATTTTAATTCCTTTATTGAAAATACATTGAATACAAATCATGTCATGTCTTAATATATGCACACTAATTTAATTTATTTTAATGAAGAATCACTCCAAAATTCATCTATTTGCTTTGTTTCTATATGACCCTACTAAAGACTATTTTATCATTTGCTTATCATTTATTTATCATTTACTTGTATGTCAGCACACCCAACTGGCATATTTCCTTAACGATATGACTTTTCTCAAATGAACTACTCACTACATAAGGTTATAAACACCATATCAAAAAAAGATAAGCTGCTGAGAATAAAACTAGATTCTCCATGTTTGGAGGCATTAAATCATCTTCACTGTATTCTGCTTAGTTTGTCTTGACATTCCTCTGACTAGACCAGTACTACAAGTCTGTGTAACCTTGAAAACGAAAGCATGCCCCGTGAAGGTTCCTCCGTATTACTATATTCATATCTATAAGGAATTGGAAGAAATAGGGGAAGAGGATGCCAGTGTTGCCAAAGGACATCACATAAGTGACACGTAGCAAGGAGTTCCCATTCCAAATTACCAAGCAGTGATGGCATCCTTCGTATAGAAAACTTTTATATTTCAGTAGATCCTGTTCATATTAAACATACAAGCATCTTTGTTATAAGACCACCTCCATGGGAAGAAACATGAAAGGCAAGTATATTCGTGAAGTCAGAAGAAAAAATATGTATATTGGATGGAACACGTGTCTATTGATTGGATACTATAAAATTTCTGTATTCAAATCTGTATCTCGTTAAAAAAATACTCATTAAAGCAGATAAATAATAGCTAAACTATTATCTTTCCTGGTAAGTGTATATCCTATATAGTTTGATAACTTCATATGTTTATAGTAATACATATATACAAAATAGTTGCCAAAATTACATTAATAGTATTGTGCACTGTTAAGACCATGAGAAATAAAGCTTATGCTTGTATAATGCAATACTATTCTCAGAACATTTGCACATCAATATAAATAATATTTTGGTTCTCAGGTATCACGATTTTGTCATGTCACTTCTAGATTTGTGAATGTTGCTGTTTCTTGGGTGGGGAGAAAGGATCAGGGTTTTATTACAACAAAGGGCAAATGAAAAATGGTAAATTCAGGTTAAAATCATTTTTTTTTACATGACAGTGTTCTCTTCATTGAAATTCAGTTTATCTAGGTTTCTGAGATGTGTGTAAAAATCAAGGATGTTGTATTGTTTATTTAGGTGAACCAAGTCCTCCATCCATACATGGGCAGCCAAGCAGTGGGAAGAGCTTTAAACTCAGTATCACCAAACAAGATGATGGAGGGGCTCCTATTTTGGAATACATTGTAAAATATAGAAGTGTAAGTACCTTTTTTATTATCGTTTGTAAGATGTTTTCAAATTGCATTAAATTTGCATTCGATTCATTGACATATTGGGCGAGAATGCACATTAAGTAACAATAATAAACAGTTCTCATAGGAATTCGACTGCTAATTGTCCATTGCTGAAATTCATCATTGTAAATTGTGAAATACTTGCCTTTTCTTGGGTAAAATCACATCATTGATCATCAGAATAATGACATGGTATAAATCTTGTGATTTTTAAACTTTGCAACATTTGAGAAATGAAGTAACATTTTCCCCTTGTTTTTCTGACAAGTTTAGCAGGATATTTTCATTTTCCATTCTGTTTGATATTAGTAACTTCAAGCTAAGCCCCTGTTCTGAATTTTAGTTATTGTAGGTAATTATTTAGCTATTGTATCAAAATACTTACTTTATTTTCTTTATTTTTTATGAATTAAGTTATTAATGCCTTAAATAATACCTTAATTGTTTGGTATTAATCATTTCATTAAAAAAACAAATTAACCGTAATCAACATTTAACAAAGTATGGCCACATTGAGCTTGAGGAAGAAGGTTTGTTTTTTTGTTTTTTTTTTCAAGTTTAATAACACTAGCTAAAATGGGATCTTGGACAGCTAAGACCTGTCACGGGACTTAGATGTGTAGGAGATAAAGAACATCTTCTGGTTGCAGAATGGTAAAGAAAGTAGCCCAATGGACTTTGCCTTTGGCTGAAAATTATACCAAAGGCCACTAAAAGTGACTTCTCTTAACAACTTTGCCATAAGTACCATTCATTATTTGTGTCTGCTGTGGAATATGTTAAAAGTGAAACAGGGGCGCCTGGGTGGCTCAGTCGGTTAAGTGTCCGAATTCAGCTCAGGTCGCGGTCCGTGAGTTCGAGCCCCGCATCGGGCTCTGGGCTGATGGCTCAGAGCCTTGAGCCTGCTTCTGATTCTGTGTCTCCCTCTCTCTCTGCCCCTTCCCCGTTCATGCTCTGTCTCTCTCTGTCTCAAAAATAAATAAACGTTAAAAAAAAATTAAAAAAAAAAAGTGAAACACAATTTTAAATTAAATTTTGTGAAGTTTATTAACATTTATGATGATCCCTATAATGCAGTGTCAATTTTATGTTTATGTTTACTGGACGCTTATTTTAATACTTCCCTAGCTTATTATAGTCTTTTAAGTAATTGCTCCTTAATAGTATATTGATGAATCTTAACTATTTTCCCACAAATTCATAATTTTCTAAATTTAATAGTCTTTTTAATTCAAATATCTAAGTTTTAGTATATGTGCTGCCGAAGCGAGCACTCAAATATCTAAGTTTTAAAGGTTAGGTAAAAAAGGAGTTTGATTTTGAAAAACATATTTAAGTAATTAATTTTAGACATCAGCCTTTAAATTTAAGATTAATAGCCAGGACCCCTCTTTGTTGCAGGTTTCATGCTGGGAATGATGAGCAGCTGTGGGTGTTTTGTGGTTAATTGTCTATGAAGGCTTCATGCCTCTACCCTAAAATAGCTCTGAATGGCTCACCAGTCTTTCTATGAATTTGATTGTTTCATGCTACTCAAGCCAGGTTTCATGGCCATTCTTATTTGACCATCTGGAAACTCTTTGGAAGGGAAAGAGTCTCTATGCGTCATAGGCCTGAACAGAATTCATGAATTGGACTGGGAGAATAGACCTCGAACAGAATTCATGAATTGGACTGGGAGAATAGACCTCACATGCAGATTGTGGCCCGCAATTGGACCCTGAAGAATTTATGGCATAAAATAAAGGTGGATAATAAGAATTTGTAGGTAATCCCAATAAAATTCCATGGTGAACATTGAGATGTAATAAGGAGTTATAAAAATATGTCTAACATATTTTCTATAAATGTAATTTTTACCTAAAGGTGAAGTTTGACATATCCTTTCTGAAGAGTTGGATATTGGAGGGGGCGCCTGGGTGGCTCAGTCGGTTAAGTGTCTAAGTTGGTTAAGTGTCCAATCCAAGTCGGTTTGGCTCAGGTCATCATCTCGCAGTCCACAAGTTCGAGCCCCATGTCGGGCTCTGTTCTGACAGCTCAGAGTCTGGAGCCTGCTTCAGATTCCGTATCTCACTCTCTCTGTGCCCCTCCCCCACTCACACTCTGTCTCCTAAAAATGACTAACCGTTAAAAAAACGTTTAAAGCTACATCTCCTAACAAAGTCACGTTGGAGGTTAGGGATTTAACATATAAATTTGTGGGGGGAACACAATTCAGTTCATAACAATGGTTACCTGTCATGACTCCTGTGTATCTCAAAAGACACAGTATTGGCATTTTGAGTAGTAGAATAGTGGGCCATCCAGATATCTACCTCCCATTACAGAATGTTTAGTATCCTTGCCCCCACTCTTTATATTGCCAGTTGTGTCCCCGATCATTATTGAAACCAAAAATGTTCCCTAGAGCAGGTTAGAATTGGAACGCGAATTTGATTTTCAATAAATTTGTACCTTCAATTCTTTTTCCCTTCTCTCCCCCTCCAAAACTAATAGTAGCAAAGCCCTGTTTCTGCTATTTACTAAATATCATTTTTTACCCTACCAGGAAAAGAAGGTTTCAGTCCCTTCTCAATTCCATCTTACTTCTGTCTTGCCATACCCCTCCTCTTTCCAATCCCCAGCCCTTTCTAACTTTGAAAAAGTGCTAGAGGGTTTGTTTTTAAATATCATAATGAAAATAATTGGTTGCATAATTAAAACATAGCTACCATTGACTGATAATCAATGACTGTGTTATCAGACTTACTAGTGCTTTAGGATAGAACACTGTTTGAGCAACAGAATTTTAGGCTCCTATGGCAAGATTTATAAAAGTAATTCCTCTCCATCCCTTTGTGTTTCAAGGATGGCATTTCTCACACTTGAATATCTATTTTTATTTATTTGTTTATTTATAAATAA